ATTTTTTACAACATGCATTTTTATTTTGGATTTCTCATATGTCAGCTACTTATTGCAGATGTCCGAAATTCGATTTTTCTGTTTTTCGGTTTAACCGAAAATCGAACCATTAAACCGACCACCGAATCAAATACGAACTTTTTAGAACTATAAACCGCAAACCGACCGAATAAACTGAAAAATCGAAACCGAATAAATCGAAATTTTCGGTTCGGTCGGTATTATTCTCCAATGCTCCCCCATTTTTGCCCCCAAAATGGGGAATAAATAGTATTATCTCAAATATGGAGTGACACTATTCATCTCCTCCATTACTATTCATCCTTATATTATTATTATTTTTATTATTTAACTCTTTTAATTTATCTCTTTATATATACCTAATTATGTTTATGTAATATCTTTATAATATTAATTTTATATCTTAACTTTGGTGTATAATTTTGATAAATTAATTTTCGTACATTTTTATGTAAAACTGTAAGTTAATCGTGACCCACGTTCGCCACAGAAGAAATATTTCGTGATGAAACAAGAATCATGCTGAAAAGATGTTGAACGTGCATTCGGAGTTTTGCAAGCTCGTTTCGCAATTGTTGCAGGACCATCACGTTTTTTGAGAAAAGAAGTGTTACATGATATAATAATTACATGTATTATACTGCACAACATGATAATAGAAGATGAACGTGATCTTAGTGCACTAATTCAAGATGATTGGGAATGTCCACCTCCCACGGTAGAAATGGTAGTAGATAAAAATTACCGATTTGAGCAATTTTTAGCTCGACAAAAAAAAAATTAAGGACAAAGATGCTCATTTTGTACTTCGTAATGCATTAATAGATCATTTATGAGAGTATACTAGAGATAGAAGTTGAATATTTATGTAATATTTAATATAAATTTTACCATAATGTAATATGTATTTAATTGTCTTGTATCTCAATTATTTCACTTTTATTTGAATTATCCGTTAATATATATAATCTATAATATTTGCTTACAAATTATATTATTTAAAAATTTATGGTATAAAATAATTTTATATTAAATTATATGTGATGAATATGTAAAAAAGAAAAAAAGATAGAATTTCTTTAATAGAAATAAGAAAATAAATTTTAAATAAAAATAATAATATAATATTAAAGAGAGAGAAGAATATAAAATGAAATATTCTTTTTTGAAGTAAAAAATGGAATTAGAGTAACTTTTGGAGTTTACTCTATTTTGAATGAGAAAGCGTCGGAGAGGCCTTAATTAAGAAAGCACGGACAAAGACTCACCACATGATAAAGTGTTTTATTGTTGCTTTTCAATCATTTCAGGTTACTGTATTATCAGTTTTATAAGTTTCAATATAATTCACAGTAATATTAAATATTCGTTTGGTCGTTGCTACAATGCTTGTATAACACATACTTTCAAATAGTTAATTAAGGAAAAGAAAACAATACTATTTTACGTACCAAGATACAGGGTATCGAATGCCAGTAAGATAGTGACCATAATACATACTCCCTTATTACCTATATATAATATATAATATAATAATATAATAATCTGCAACTAAGATTTACAAAATATGGGCCATCCAGAAACTCACAACAAAACTACCTATAAATCCTCAGTAGGAAAAAAAGGGGGACAAGAAAAAAAAAAGAAAAAGATAAAAGAGAAATAAAAGTCTTGATACTTTTATGCGAAGATTCTTCAGTTCTTCTTGAAAACATTGATCTTTATCTTGGAGATTGAGTTAAATTAAAATTTCTCGGACGAATAAAATACTCCGTACACTAATTGAACTAATAATGTTGTCTAAGAGCACACTTTACCAAGTTGAAGAAATAAACAACATTATGACCTTAATATTTTTGTATATGTCACGGGGAATGAAATGCAGTCTTATGGAGTACTTTAATTTCGTGAAACAAGGCTAAACTTGCCCCTCAGTTATTGAATTTTGTTTAAATATACTTTTTTGATAGAAGTAGGCAACAAGAAAAACCTGGCCCCCTAAACGTATCAATCATTTAGATTCTTGTCGTTTTAACAATCCCCAACTGATTAATTGTCTCAAAATTAAATTAAAGTTGGAGCTATATAATTGCCACATGTAATGATGTTCAACTAACTTGATATGTTATGTGCCTTAGCAATGATTTAATCTTAATAATTCCTCGCGTTTACTGTGATTTTGTTAATGATTCTATAATCCACACACATACGCCATAATCCATCCTTTTTAGGCATCAAAATATCAGAATCGCACATAGACTAATTAAATTTTCTCTCACAACAAGCTCCTTCACGTGACTTTGTAGCTCTTTAATTTTTTCTAAATTGCTCCTATAAGCGGCTTTGTTTGAAAGTTGTGAGCTCGGAAAGAGATCTATTTGGTGCTCAATGGAATGCCAACTAGGAATTAGGTTTGGATGTAGTTGAGTGTAATTACACCGTTTGACATATTTGTCCAAGTAATATTACTTGCTCAATATAAAATTATTGGGTGTGATTGAGAGGATGTAATTACACTCCCCAATTCTTGAGGGGAAAGTGAGGATTAGTAATAATTACACTGTGTAATTATAAGGTAATGTAACTTTTAAATTTTTAATTTTAGTTTTTATTTTTCAAATATATTAAGTACTATGTTTTAATAATATTTTATTTTTTATTTTCTTATTCTCATTTTTAACCGTCCAACATATTTCTTATGGTGAGCTTTCATAATTTCTCATATTTTGCTTCTTCCTTTTCTATTTTCTTTGTTTTTCCTAGTTGTTAAATATAATTTTGTATTTTACTAGCCTTGTTTTTCTGCTCATTAGTATAAAATAATTATTAACAAAAAATCTTTTTAGACTCATATTTATTATTTTGTTATTTAAAAAGTGCAAAAAATCATAAATTTCATATTTTCTCATATGAGTTGGTAAAAACTTAAATTCATAATTAAAACTTTTATTAGTTATTTTAAGTTAAGATAGCATTTATTTGAGAGATAGTCAAGATACCGATAAAAATGATATTAGTTACTAATTTATAATTAAAACTTTTATTAGTTATTTTAAGTTAAGATAGCATTTATTTGAGAGATAGTCAAGATACCGATAAAAATGATATTAGTTACTAATTTATAATTAAAACTTTTATTAGTTATTTTAAGTTAAGATAGCATTTATTTGAGAGATAGTCAAGATACCGATAAAAATGATATTAGTTACTAATTTATAATTAAAACTTTTATTAGTTATTTTAAGTTAAGATAGCATTTATTTGAGAGATAGTCAAGATACCGATAAAAATGATATTAGTTACTAATTTATAATTATTTAATACTTTTAATTTTTTAAAAAATGCCTTTAAGTACCTGATTATAAATAATATTTAGCATTTCTTATATATACATATATTTATCACACATTAATTTAGTTAGTAAAAAAAAATTAAATCGTTATTTTAATTTTGATTAATTAATTTAAGTAATAATATTATTTATTAGAAAGATACTTAATACTGTTAAAATATTATTTATCAATTTATAATTATTTAATGTACTATTTGATATATTTCGATAGATTAATCTGGAAAAACTTTATTTAATTATGTAATTATACTTATCCGACCAAACATGACTTTGAAGATTATATTATAATTATGTTAAGAAAATCAAACAGATCATTGTAATTATTATACTATATAATTATCAGGGTGTGTAACTACTAATCTAATAATTACATAGTCAGATAATTACATATGACTTTTCAAACAGACCCGAAGAATATAAGTTATACGACAAGAATAGTAAATCCTCACGGATTTTAGTAGCAACGCAAAAGCCAAAATAAAAACCAGTCCTATTTTACATGTGAGGTGTGTATAGGGATAGCATGATAGAATTTGGTAATTGGGTGCACCTGCATTTCGTTCTTTTTCACGCTTTAACTGATGTAGCTTTTTATCTTCCTAATTCTTGACTACAGTTACTAATTATTTATATTTCTCTTTAGATCTATAAATTCTAGCTAATATAACAGCTTCAACTTTGTTTTATCTTTTTAAAGAATGCAAAATATACGAAGACATTATGCTCAATGTTCAAAACTATTGAGAACTAAAGCAAAGTTAATGAATATGATTAGCTAAAACCTGTTAGTACTTTACTGAGAAATAAGATGATCCGTTTAGGTAGAAAATGGTAATATAATTGTATGGGTTCTTTGAATGTAAGAAGCAATGCAAGAAATATTTATCTTGGAGATAACAATATGCTAACTTCCAAAATAACCAGGAAAAACATTTTTTTAATTTAATTTTTCTCCACCGAAGGTATAAAAACTAAAAAGTTCACCCACATGCGCTGTAATATAATTTGATCAACTCCAAAAGGTTAATACATATTTTAGGTTATAAATTAAACTCATACATAGTATAACCAATTACTTAGAAAGACAAAGACGATTTAAGTGATTAAATTTTATTAGAGTTAATTTCAAGTATGGTCGTAAATTCGACCACTATAATAATAAAGTTATAAAATTATATTTGTTATATTAAAGTAATTTTTTTTTGCTATAATAATACATCACTAAACTTTTTATATATTTTAATAGTATAGTTATAAATTATTTTTGTATAAACGAACTTTGTCCACTATATGATTATAAGTCATTAATTAAGCATTATCTCCTATAACGACAACACTTTAACCATTAGGGTGTTTGTTATAGTCTGCAAAAGTTATGTGACTCAATTGTTACGATAGATAAAATTTCAATATTATAAAGAACATATTGAAATTTTATGACTATTCTTTTTTAATGGATGAAATTTAATAAAAATACGCGAAATTAACACTAATATTATAAGTTATGATTTTATTTATACATAAAAAAACTTATTCTTTTCTTCCTATGGAATACAAGTGGCGCTATAAAAACTTAACAGGCAATTGAAGCGGACAAAGTTTAAAGCGAAAGATCAGCATCCAGAGATCAACATTGTTCATTCCATTCCACAGCTTCCATTGCTGGTTCTTAATTTCACGTTGCATCGATCGAACGTAACACCTCTGATCTGCATGCGTTACAGCTTCTTCTTTGTCATTAAATCTCGTCTGGTTTTCTAGATTAATTTGTTCGTTGGATTATCTTAATTTGTTTGGGAAAGGAAGAAGCAATACTAAAAATGCAGGAGCATCTGATCCCTTCGTCACCATCAACACCTACCCGAATCCGGCGTAGACGGACGCAGGAGGTGGTATATATAGCAACTTCTTTCATCTTTTTATTACTATAGTATAAACTTGCTTTATAGAGTTTCGATTTTACTATAGCATAGGAGTAACTTATATGTGCTGACGGTGCATAACGTAACTTGCACAAATAAGTCTAATTTGAGATAATCTGAATAACTTGCTATAACCGGTTAAATTAGTTAGAATACATTTGTGAAAATTGAGCATATGCTTGGTCTATGCAGCAGCTTGATTATTTGGTGATGATCTCAAAGAAGTTGTAATTCTAATGCTGGAGATAAATTTAATTGATTTTTACCAAATAACTAAAGTTATACTGTCAACAACCAAGGCATTATATATTCGTGTGAGTACCAGAATGCTAAAAGAGTTAAAGAGTGTATAAATATCTAGCAATGGAGGAATAAATTAAATAATACGTAATTTTTATGCTGGGATTGTTACGTTGTACAAAACATTTCTCCACTAATTCATCAGATGTTGCATGCCAAGTGTTCCCTTGCATGCATGGATCACTATAATGCGTTACGCTTGTCTTTAGTCTAAGGGGACCGATTGCTAAATATGGTCACTTTGGATATCCATTAAACTTGGCATCTCTTTAAGAGAATTCATCTAACAGTTGTGGTTGCAAATATCTGCACATGATATGAATATTATTAATACTTGAGGTACACCTAATTCTAGGAAGGAGGGATATAAGAGGTAGTCCACTAGCTCCCAGCAATTTTACTGCTTCAGGCTGCAACTTTTATATATATATATATATATATATATATATATACACATTTGAGGTCATAATTAGCATACCGATTCTTACTTTTGCTTGTTCATGTTTCCTTATTAATTAGTAGAGGATGGATTGGTTAACTTGTAGAAATCTTATACAATTAATTAAATTGATATCTCATCTAAATGTCCTGCTTATATTGTCTTTCCTTTTCCCTATCTTATATATTAATTCTGCCAAGCTGAATAGATGGAAGATAATGAGTAGTTTTACTGTGCTACAATTTGTGGTTGTTTGGCTAGAGAAGTTGAACGTGGTTAATTTTGTTCATGTCAGATATTTCCTGAGCTAAGCAAAGTAGATGAACAAAACAAATATAGATCAATGTGGATTCGAACGTATTCTTCTTTATGGATGGTTATAAGCATCATCATCATTCTATACTTGGGTCATCTGTATATTTGTGCGATGGTCGTTGTCATTCAAATAATCATGACCTTCGAGCTATTCAATCTACTTAGAAGACCTGATGAAGATAGATGCCTACCTGGATTTAGGCTACTAAATTGGTAAGAATTCCCCTGTATGTAACTTTGATTGCAGCTACTCAAAATGGAAATATATATATAACTGGAGTACTATGCATTTTATATATATTGTTCAGGTACTTTTTCTTCACAGGCATGTTGTTTGTGTATGGACGCATACTAAGCCAACAGCTTGTGAACACTGCAACTTCAGATGAATTCTCATATAAGCTAGTAGGCAAGGTCATAAAGTATCAGATGGTCTTTTGCTACTTTCTGTATATTTCAGGTCTGTTCATCTTCTTAAAAAAACTTCCATGTAATTTATTTGGATTTCTACAGTCTGCCTTTTATAACCTTGTTATTTCATGCATCACTTGAGGTGACATATTTTTTTGACATCCAGTGGCTTCAAATATGCCTCTTTTCTTTTTCTGGTCAAGATATCATTTATGACTATGTGCGGCTCCATATGTAGTAACATATACGTCTGATCGATGCTTGTATTTAATGTGCCTGTTCTGTATCACAATCTTTTTAACATGATGTCAATAATGTGATTCTCGTATGTATTTGCAGGACTTGTGTGGTTCATACTAACACTAAAGAAGAAGACATACAAGTATCAATTTGGTCAGTATGCATGGACGCACATGATTCTATTTGTGGTCTTCACTCAATCCTCTTTTACTGTAGCCAACATATTTGAAGGCATTTTCTGGTAATATATGTTTTCAGGAAGTTAATATGTGATGTTCTAACAATTTTTACTCCTGTTGATCGATGCATTAATTAAATGCTTCTTTTGGTTATATCATTGTATTATATATCTTAGGTCGATATTATACATAGCCTTATGAAGCATACAATGAAAGAAATGCCTAAATCTCCCCTAGATAGATGCTTTTTTTACTGTCTGAGTTTATAATCTTTTCAAAAATGCTAAAGAATGCATAATTTTGTCTGCTCTTTATCTTATCTGAGAGTTATGGAGTGAAACCTATATCTCTAGTTAGTTGGATCTCAAAATTGTATCTTTGGAGATTGAGGCAGCTTAAGTATTTTCATCTTGATTCCTGTAATTCAAGAACTGCTTCATCTACTATGTAATTAATCTATACTTGCACCTTAAGCTATGGCAACAAAATTCAATTAAAATATGCTTCCCTGTCCGTTAGTGGTAAGTTGGGAATATTAAAGAGAATCACGTTTTAAGGCTTGTGGATACTTATTCAAAGAAGTAGCAAATTGTTGGCCAGAGATGATCTTAACTATCGTGGAGTTAGGTCACTTTCTTTACGTACTGTAGATCGATCGAGTGTATCGACATTAATATTTAATTCTACTGTTGCAGGTTCCTTCTTCCAGCATCACTTATAGCTATGAATGATGTAGCAGCTTATTTCTTTGGTTTCTTCTTTGGGAAGACACCTTTGATCAAGCTTTCTCCAAAGAAGACATGGGAAGGCTTCATTGGAGCATCTATTGCCACCGTGATAACAGCTTTCTTGGTCAGTGGCACTTTTCAGGACTTCCAGTTTTCTCCTGCTCTTTTTGACCAACTGATAGTATTTTTTACACTTGGTTGAGATAAGTAGTAGTTTTGCCATTGTATTCAAGACTTAACAATAGAGGGAGGGCTCGATCTTGTTCTGTTCTTGTGCCACTGCTTATAGTTGTAGATATACTTGGTTGAGAATTCATGGGCGGAGGCAGAAGCCGAGCTACAGGTTCGGCCGAATCCAGTAGCTTTTCTCAAACAGTATATTTTGTGTTAAAAAAATCATTAAATATGTATAAATATTAAATCTAGAACTCAGTCATTAGCAATTAAAGCCGTCGTTCTAAACAGAACGCATAAGGTTGAAATACTGGCTACGCCTCTGGTATTTTGATTCTTTTAGGTGGTATTTGGCTTGTTACTTGATCTTCCCTCCTCTTTCTAGAAGGGCATACACAGAAAAGTTTTATGTGAAGCACTGTCAAAATGTGAATTTTGTAATTGAAATTTTCAGCTTGTATGCAGTTTGCAAATGTGCTTGGCCGTTTCCAATGGTTGACATGTCCAAGAAAGGTAAGATCTTTTATTTTTCAAGTTACTCTTTCTCAAAGATTTTTTTGGCTACAATTCTTGATGATTACTTATCTAACAATGTATATGCAGGATCTATCGACTGGTTGGCTTGAATGTGATCCTGGTCCTTTATTCAAGCCAGAATACTATTCTATAGCTGGATGGCCTCAATGGGTGAGTCTGCATCAATAATACCTTTCTGCGAAAACTATGACCTTTCTGGAACTGTTTTGGACAATTCTTTCTACTAAGGATGTATGGTCTTTATTACTTGTTGACTTTTGAAGTTTGATGATTTTTTTTAATCAATATTATCAACGTTCTCCTACTAGCTTGGGACTAAGGCATAGTTGATTGATTGATTGATTGATATCAACTGCTAACAATGTAGTCTCGGTAGTTCCCCGAGAAACTGTCAAAATCAATGAAATTTTGTTATAAACGATGGCTCAGATCTGCTACAACTGCTAGTTGAATCTAATTTTTTAACAAGCTGGTATTGAGATTTATAAAAACACAATTCTAGAAGTTTGTATCGTTCAAGTCACACCCTAAGTCATCTAATTTGTGCTTGATGAAATAATCCATTGCTTAGGCAATCTTGATGTTTAAATGCTGGAACTGCATCTAGCACTCAGTTGTTTTACTCTATAATAAGCATTAACAACAACAATAACAACAAACCCAGTGTAATCCCACAAAGTGGGGGCCGGGGGAACAGAGTGTACGCAGACCTTACCCCTACCTTACGAAGGTAGAGAGGCTGTTTCCGATAGACCCCCGGCTCAAGAGAAAAAAAACTAAAAAAGAAGTAGAAACAACAAGTAGTAACCATAGCAAGCAAAGGTGATATAATAATCGAAGCGATACTCTATATCATAGACTTTCTTAGCTCTACATTTAACATGAACTTCCTCTGCTGCTTACAGAACTTACACTCATTATCATTTAGTGAATTCTTACAGTTCCCTCTGAAGGAGATATCAATATTACCAGTGCAATGGCATGCTTTATGCCTGGGTTTATTTGCGTCGATAATAGCTCCGTTTGGAGGATTTTTCGCTAGTGGTTTCAAGAGAGCCTTTAAGATCAAGGTCTGTACAGCTGTTATTGGAAATTGAATAGTATTGCCTTTCTACTTTCTACTCACTGATTTCTTCCATTTACATGGAATCGTCCAGGACTTTGGCTATTATATTCCGGGACACGGCGGTTTCACTGATAGGATGGATTGCCAGGTAATACTCAAGAAGCAGTTATCTTCAAACTAAAGAAAATACTTGTGCCCTGAGTCTTTTACAAAGTAAAATGTTTTGGTTCATCTTAAATTTTTTATTAAGATGATAGAGAGTTGAAGCATTTACTTGATAATTCTTGTTCAGACACAAAATTACTTCCTTTTATTTGAAGTTCAAGTCTTCTTTGGATGAGGGTCTCTTGGAAACAGCCTCTCTACCCCTCCGGGGTAGGGGTAAAGTCTGCGTACATTCTACCCTCCCCAGACCCCACTTGTGGGATTTTATTGAGTTATGTTGTTATTTGAAGTTCAACCGTGTAAGCTAAAAGCTAAGGTTGTGTTACATATGTGCAGATGGTGATGGCAATTTTTGTCTACATCTACTACCAGTCATTTGTTCCTCAGGACTACTCCGTTGAGATGATTTTAGATCAGGTAATAACTGATTTTCTAACCGAGTGCAAAAGGTGAAAGTTACATGCTGCACTTAAACATTTGCTGTGGCCATATTTTGTACTAAAAATATATGAAAAATATAGTCAAATTGGTAACATTGCTTGTGAAAACTACACTTCAAATGGATGTGTTGCTTATTCCAAGGCACAAACCAAGCAGATAATTAAAAGAACTAAACTAATTGAAGATGTTGAATAACCGTGGATAAGTAATCTGTAACTGATTCTCTTGCTACTGCAGATCGTAAGGAATCTCAGCTTTGAGGATCAGAAAGCACTTTACTATAGGCTGGGCCAGATATTTCGGCAGAGACAGCTAGAAAACAATTGAACAGTACTTCTGCCGATTCGCGCACAATATTTCTTCTTGGTTGAGATGTTATGGGTGTCCATTTCTGCACATTTACTCTTCTTAAACTCATATTCAAAAGTTATGCACCAAAATTTTCTCCCTGTTTCTCTAACTTCCCTCCATTTCTTTTATCTTTTCAAAGACTTTTTTTGAGTATCGGTCAATGATCGCAAACACCAGATCCTGTGAAACAAATGTAGGGAGAAATTGTTACTCTGTCAATCCTAGTTCTCCCCAAGTTGGTATATTTTGGTAAACTGAAATTTAATGTGTGGGGAATCCTTACTTGTCAAGATCACCCTTAAATAATATAGGATGCTTCATTAAATTGCTTAATCACATAATTTAGCAATAAGAAACACAGTCAGATCGGGTAATAGAAGGTACACCAATAAGCAGCTTATGAATGTACAGCAGTAAACAGCTCTGGAGTGCCTCTCAAAATACATATAGTTTCAGTTCACCAACTTTAAAATGGTGACTTTTTGGATTGCGATACGGAAATCAGGATGATTCATCAGTCTGGAAATTGCATCAGTTGATCCAAAAAAAAAAGATGCTCAGATTCGAGAAGCTCCTTCAAACCAAGCCAACAATCGGGTAGCACTATAAGTTGTGGAAACTTGATACTGCTGAAACTTCGCTTGAAGCATTTGGCCACATCAGTTGCTGACATTCTTTGATCATCTGGGACCATCAACACCATGCATGGTGCTATAGAGAATGACAGATTTTTCAGAAGCATCAAACTAAGTCGAAAGCTTATCCTTTCTTTGAACATTGAACATCTATGTCTTTTCACCTAGTTATGTACTGAATATCTGCATTTTCCCTTAGCCATTCAAGTACTTTAGCCCCTTCAAGTACCTCTTGTACCTGGGCAACATTAAGGGACCATCAGACTCTGCACTTTTACTTAATATGGAAGACAAACATAAGACTTGCTTAAACTGGCAAGATAGAAAGAAACATCAGCTAATCCAGTCAAATTGGAATATCAAGATAGTTTCCACATTTCTATTATGATCAAGTCGCTTGAGATTTTGCGGTCAACTATATTTAAAATGTTATTGTCAGAACAATTCAATTAAATTCTAACCTGTTGCTTAACTCGGTCCTCATCGTACTCCTGTTGAGACTTTTGGAATTCTTCAATTGAGTTCTGAACCTCTTTCACTAGCTCCTCTGTTGAAAACTGCAAAGTCCAGTAAATGACTAATGATCAGAAAAGGTAAGCTGCACTATCAGCATGCCTAAGTATTTGAATCTTTCACGGGGCTACTGAATGGCACAGGTAAAATGCGTAGGAGCAGAACATAGATAAGCAGATGGTGGTTGTTATTGTTGTGCAGTCTTGCTCCTTACCGGAGAGCTAATTACTTTTGAATGCTCGCCGTACTCGGTCAAAGTAAAAGGGATTTCTTTCCCACTATTTTCATTATTTTATTACCTTGCCAAAACACGTGCAACTGATACTTGTAACAAATTAGAAGGCTTTGAGGTTACACCAGAGCCAAAGGGGGCTGAGATAAGGAAGGTCAGTTAACCTACTAATAACTTTTAGAAATTTTAAGCAGCCAATGATAAAGATGAAGGGAAAAATAGTTATCTAAATTTTGATAGGGGGATCATATATGACATAAAGACGGCATGTACCTGCAAATTTTCACGTGTAAATATGTCACCAACAGCTAAATTTTGCTTTATAATACTTGTTATATTTTCTTTTTGTGCTTCAAGGAACTCATTCACGGCCCTTGGGCTTGATAACGATGCCAGCTGCTGTTCGCTCAGTTTCATATTTGCCTAAAACAAAGATAATGATTAGATCAGAGCATGCACAGAAGTCCATAAATGTAGAAACAACTGAGTGGTGAATGCAGTGCTGACCTGCAACTGTAAAAGTTGAGCTCCATAGAGTTGTCTTCCTTGCTCTTCGAAGAGAGATTGAGGAATATCAACTTCAACCATCTAGATCAAAAGGGAAAATGTCATAACCTCATCATAAACAAAAGGTTAACAAAATGAAATCTAATACATGTATGCAAATAGTCACCAAACTTAGGGTCTATGTGTGAGTGCGAGTCTGCGGCACAACAGGATTACCATATCTCAAACATCAACAATTTTTTAGTAGTGAACAGAGCAAATGGTAACAATAAAACCTAAGTAATTCTCACCGACTAGGGGTATAGAATTTATTCGAAGAATTTTGTTATATAGGAAACGGACTGCATGTTCATATGGCCCCAAGCCCATGATCAGAGTCGAGGGAAAACTCAGCTTTTGATTTGCAAGCATGGGTTGATCCGAAGAAATTTGTCAATCAAGTAACACATGGTCACTATGGCTTGCATGTTTTCATTTGCTAGATACGACTGTTAAATAAAATAAAAAAAGAAATGAAAAGAAACCTTGTATAGCTGGTCTAAGATAGCATTATCAGTTGCTTGGTCTTTAGCTGCCTGTTCAACTTCAAGACATCTTTGTAGCAATGCTTGCTTTACCTGCAAATTATTTAGCAGGAAATTTCCTCAACTTCGATGTCATTCAGGAAAATAAATTGCTTTGCTATAACTCCTCTGCACATATGAGGAAAAAAAAGAAGAAGCAGTCCTACCTCCTCAATGGAGCTGCATCCCGGGATAAGCTTATCAGCAATCGAGTCATTCACCTCAGGCAAATCTCTGTAGAACAGTTCTTTACATTCAACCTGATGAGAAAAACAAAAGGAAGAACTTTCATCAAATTAAACTGTATTGTACATATTAATCATCTAAGTAGGTTTCTTCCCTACTCAACCTAATTTGGCAAAAAGCTCGCAGTGATCTAAAAACTCCACGATCAATCAGTCTTAAAGTTAAACTAACTTTTGCTTAGAAACACTTAACAAAGATCCTTATTCAGATGAGGACAAAATGTCCTACAGCTAAGACTTGAAAAATAAGAAGTAGATTCCACATCAATTTCAACTGACCAGTAAGATTATGCAATTCTTCTCTATAGCCACAACCAGCAATATTGTTAGATGTGCTTTAGTCAATTCTTGAAGTCAACTACTTCTTTGAAGTATTATGGATAAAGTATTTTCGTCGGTATTAGTAGTGACAGTAAACATGGGGCATTCGGTCAGGGAATGCAACAAAAGAGAGAAGGAAATCTTGCCTAGATGGAAAAGTGAGAGATGATAAACAAAGTAATCATAACTATTTACATGACATTAAATTCACTTGAAATCTTTATCAGGTGGCATAGGAACTCACTGTGAATTGAGCATGAACACCACGAAGATCCTCTTGTTTCCATGAGTCTGGAAATACCAAAGGGAATGACTTTGTTTCACCACGTTTAATACCAACAATTGAGTCAAGAAAACCGGGAAGGACATTATCCCCATCTTCCGTGTCAAAGTTGAAACCTGAACCACAAATATAGATACAATCAGCTCAAACACTTTCAATAATAGGACAAGCAACTAAAACATACTTGGAGACAGTATTTCATTGAAAAATGATATATTAAAGAAATACTAGCCTTTACTCTCTGCAGCAGGTATGCTTTTAGCATCTGATCCATCTTGTTCAATCGTAGTTGCTGATATATCAATCACTGCAACATCGCCAACCTGGAGAATTTTTGGATACTTATGGTAACAAAATATCCTATGCATAAAAAAAAAAGAATATCCTTCTCAAATACTTATGTATGTCTCTGGACTTAATCTCAGTGCCAAATGCACAGAAGTTGGAGAATGCAACAACACCTATATGATCACTACTCTGTAAATGAGTATGCTAGGAAGAAGAGAAACCAAAATGCTTTCCAACATCAAAGTCAGTTCGTGCTAATGAAAGTAAAAGATAATGCTTATATATCACAAAAGGAAGGTCGCAAATCATATCATAACTTTTCAACTTGTGCTCGTGCTGGGGGCTGAAAAATGAAGGGATCTTTACACAAATAACCGGCCGGATTCACTATTTACTTTTCAAGACAGTATGCATAGATTATACACTAATTATACATGGTTATACACATATTAAACATGGATAATACATATATTATACATCCGCTAGGTATTGTTAGTTTAAGCAGTTGAATGGGTGACTATTTAGGTTAATTCTTCAAAATAAAAGGGTTTTTGCATTTTACTCAGCGTTGAAAGATCCTTATTTTATCGCATGAATGATATCACTTACCCAATTTAAACTGTCATTTGTAAAAATGTTTCATTTTATTGCAAATGGTGTAAACAGAAATGAGGTGAGGAAGGGTTTCAGCGGCGAGGTGAGGAAGCGGCTGTGTTTGGGGGGAGGTGCGGTGCAGGCAGAAATCCGTAGGAGCTGTTGAGTTGCATCTGATTTTGTGAACTCTTAAGCAAAGAGGATAAAATGGCATGCATATTCACAAATGCTGATTTAACATGTTCGATGTATAATTTAGGCGCTAAACTAGTACGGAAGCAGAGAGAAGAGTTAAACAAACCCATTCAAATGGTTAGACCAAGGAACCAATGGTTATACCTGTAAACCCCGATCAGTAACAATTTTCAATGCACCCAGAGACTTGTGACGCCGTGTAAATTCTTTTTCTGAAGCTACCTGAGCATCCATATCACTGTCAAGCTCAACAACAACCTTAAGATTCTTATATGCATTTTCAGGTTTCCACTTGATTTCAGGAGCCACATCAACAATCACATCATACCTACAATCATCACAAATCACAGGTCAGGACTTCCCTTACCTTTTTATGGCCATAGGACATCGCATATATGATTTCTCAAGTTGACCAGAATCTTCAGGTGATATTCCCCTCAAAGGCGGTACCACCTCTATTAGTATTGACTAGATCAAACTCTTCTCACCTTTCAATTTTAAAGCTAATAACAGCAACTGTAAATCATGAAAAGCGCAAGTCTAACCACAACGAATGAGATTGTTATTACTTTTATTTTATTGCCGAGGAGCAGACATACAAAGACTAAGGCACATGTCTAAGAAAAGATGGCATAAAACAGCTTTTGAACAAGTCGGCATGACAACCTCATCATTGTTATTTTCTTTTTAATTTCCTTCTTAAGGCCTATGCTGCACATCTAAATTTTTAAATGTTAGAGATGTAAACTCCAGAACTTATTCGGTTAGCACTGAAAATTGTTTGATAAATAAAAAATGCCAAAAGTTTGTAAGCATCTAACACGAGTTTATAATATGCCAGGAAAAAGCATTTTGCACAGAATTATCTATCTGGTCAAACTCGAAACCATTGCTTAACAGAGATGCACATAAGATTGTTAGCATTTATTTCATAAAGAGTACTGTTCAGAAAATTACCCAATGCAGAAGGATGATTTCATTGCCACCAGTTTTACAGTTAATTGGTCAGCAGTACAGCATTTACTTTAATCAAATTAGAAGCTGTGGAAAATAAAGTTTACTAACTACAAATTTAATTTGAGTCTTCGAAAAACCTCAAGGAATTCGTAGACACATAGGTCTTTTCCATGTCTGTGAATTTGGTCGCAATGCGAATTGAGTCTTCCAATGCTTTTCCAGTAACCTACAGTTTAGCAGCATACAGTGCATCAGAGTTAGCAAACCAAGAAAGTAGAAAGCTCATTCGAACAATGTAAATTCCCTATTATTACTTATAAGCAATAAAATATTTCGAATCAAGATACAAGTTACTTCCTAAAACTGCCAAAACAGTATTGACAGACATAACTTTGGCCCGGCTTTCTGTTTATGAGATACACCAGAGGTGAAAAGAGTTCCTAAAACCTTCAGGTACAGAAGCAGTTTGAAAGGAAGTGATTAGTAAAAACTCAAACCTCAAATTTGTAACAACAGTTCTAGAAGCTTAAGCTGTTACAAGATTAATAAATTTGTAAAAATAGCATGACGACGCACCGAAGACATGGCATGTGGAAGTGTTCTTTTCAGAATAGACTCGACTGCAGCTTTTTGAACATTTTGCTTCCCAACATAGCCAACGAGGATATCTTCTGGAACATTCTTCCCAGGACGAAATCCAGGAACCTGAACAACATCCATTGAATTAAAATCCAGAGTTGGAGCGGATCGTCAAGGAGATATTTAGTGAAAAGATAGGCAGTGCACCAGCAGTTGCCATGGAGTTTTAAATCATACTCAATAATAATATGGATCATGGCAATAAATGCTCATATCTAGTATTCATAAGAGGACAAAAAGTATAAAAACAATATTTAAGAACAATCAAAAAGTCATAGTCTTCCCCTCAAGACTAAAATTAGCTTCAAGAATGGAATGTGGAAACAGTTATAAATTCAAAAAGGTTTCCATCTAGCACCTTTGAGTGTTTCATGAACTCTCTTATGACTCTTCCGTAGCAATCCTCGCATACAACAGTTGGAACTTCTACAGTCAATCTGACCTGCGAAAAGCAAAACAATTGAAGTTATGTAAGTCAAATGATGGACATGATAATGACATCTTTTCCTTCTAGACATTTAAACAAAAGAATATGTGAACCTTCAACCCTTTGGATACTTCACTACAATAGACAGGGTCAAGCTAAATTTCTAATTCTCAAAAATGACTATTCCTGATATACTTGGAACACTTTGTAATGCATTGACAATCAAGGCAGCTGACAACTATGCAATCAAAAGTTCTTTCAGAAAAAGAAGAAAAAAACCACTTTCGCCCAAGATAAGAATCCGTAACAAAAATTTAAAGTTGAAAAATAAAATAAAGAAACTTGTCACTAGGTTAGAACTTTATTACCCCCCTCTCCCATTTTATGTAACATTCTCATTTTTAGTCCTTTCCAAAAGGAATGATATCTTTCTTTATTTAGAAATAATTCTTAGGACTTCCTGTCTACCTCAATGACATGATTTTATAGCCACATAAATGTCAATGGCAATGTTTTAATCAACAAGTTTCAAAATTCTTTCTTAATCCCAGCCAAACGTTTGTGAAGAAAATTAAAACTTGGGGTTTAAAAAGAAAGCAAAAGACACTTAAAGAAATTAAATAAGCGTACTCTGGAATTGGGTTCCTGGGTTTCAGTAACATGAATATCAGCTGGAAGTTTATCTTTATCAACAGTATCAACAACGCCGGGAGCTGCTGAGGCTACGAAACGAGCTGAAGAAAGCTGCTGCTGTTGAAGAAAGGAGAATTGGCGGGAAGATAAAGTGGGTACTATTTGTTTGAGAGGAGAAGAGAGCAAGAATTTATCATTGGGTTGAAGGAAATGAGTTTTTGTGTTAATAGATGGGGAATGAGGTGATGGAAAGGAGAGAATAGAGGGCTTGAATTGGATTGCAATTGGCGTTGCCATTTTTTCAGTTCAAAGCCAAAGTTGCAGAACTGAAGATAACACTCCCCTGTCTCCCCACCCACCCTAAGCCTTATTTAGAGCAATTTCCAGAGTAGGATAAGGTACGGATTCAAAAACATATTCCTATCTTTTAATTAAAATATATTTCTATCTTAACTCACATTATTTCATAGTAAGAATATATTTAAAGTATTTGAAAAAATATTGTAGTAATAGAAAAAACTATTTGACTTGCCTAATGTAGGAGATGATATAATAGCATAATGGCTTTTACTTTACACTATATTGGTGCAATTTTTTCATGAATTTTACTTTTGTAGATAGACAATATAAAAGAATTTTTACACTATTACAATACATAAAAATTAATTATATATAAATATTCATACTTTATTGAAGGTGAAAAATAAGAAAAATATAACAAATTACACTAATAGTGTAAAAAATTAATGTAGAAATAGTTATGATTCTATCATAGACCCCTCCCTCTTTTTTCCTCTCTTTCACAACGTGCTATTTGTACATTATTAACATCTCAAAAAAATATCATTTTATATTAACAAGAACATGAAATCCATTATATTTTATTAATAGAAAGGAAACCAATACGACGTCGTATAGGTGGTCAAAACAAGAAATGTGTGAAGTGTACGAAACGGAAGCATCTATGTCCACTAACTCAAGTCATTTTTACATACTAAAACACAGCCCAAGATTTCGTCAGCAGAAAGATTGTTTGCCATGGCTCGGGTAATCTCAAGTCCCATTGGACTCCACAAACTGAGGCCTTTCCATTTTAGACCCCATCAGTCTTTGCACTTTGTTAAACCTTCCATTTATCAGCTGAAAAATGTTGGCAAGTATCAAAGAATATATTGTCAAACTGACCCAAAAACAGGCGACTGTTGCCAAGAAAACTCCAACCCACCTGAATCTGCAGTAAAGGTTTAATCTTTTCACTTTCCTTGAATATTTTTGTTTAGTGTGATAGAAGAAGGAAGAAATTGAGCAACCCTTTTACTTAAGGGGCCTTTTGGGTAAAAGACTGCAAGCATTCATTAATACTGTTGTTAATTGACTTGCTTATAAAGATAAAAGAGTGTTGTTAATTCACTTATTTTATTTCTTCGTGAAAAGGAAAAAAATAGTGTTAATAATATACAACCATACCTGCTTATATTTGGAAAACTCTACCTTTCTTACACTTCCCTCTATAATTTCTGCACAAAAAGGAAAGGAATTAAGTCCATTCGTATCAACTTTGAATTTTGCAATGTTTGAAGTTTTGCTGGTGAGATGGTATATTTACATAGAAAGTATAGCTAGCGGGTGCGATCTAATTTTGATGTTGATATACATAGTTTTGATTGGCGTTTCAGCTTTATCAGTGTAGACTAAACCTATTCCTATTGTATCCCCTTGAATCTGATATACATGTGTTGCTCTGCAGGATAAGTCTTCAGGTGTTGACACTGAGATTAGTAAAGCTGAAGTCTCTGCTCCATCTTCTGGTCCTGAATATCCGACCAAAGACTTCAATCGGCGGGTAGCACTAGTGTCTGTCCTTGCAGCACTTGGACTTTTCTCTTCACAAAGAGTAGATTTTGGTATTCCTTCTTTGAAGGATATCACGGCTGCGGCATTGCCATATGAAGAGGTTAGTGTTCGAGCACGACCATCATATCTTATGATAAATTTGTTTTGTTGTGTATTCATATGTGGGTAGGACCTGGACTTTCATGTATTCCACGGTTGGATGAACTTGCAATTAGTGTTTTTCTCGTAAAACAGGATACTTAGGAGTATTTTGCTTTTGTTTTAAGTTATAAGTTCTATTGAAGATTTTAGGAAGCTTATCATCCAAATAAAGGTTATGTTGTAAAATGGAAATGTTTTTCTTGCACATAGATAATTAGTACTTACTATTACTACAAGGCAAGGATAATTTGAAATACACTATTAGATTTTGCTTTAAGAAACTCTGCAGTTATAATGGTTCTCCGTTAATGTGTCAACAAGCTGGCAATGAGAAAGAAAATTGATGGATAATGAGCTCGCCAAGAGCTACCTTCTCTTGGATAAAATGATTATAAATGCTTACATGTTTGATCCTAGAGTGAGAGATTGGATTTAATGAGATACACGGTGCCCCAATGTTATAACAAAAGTTTATAGGCTGCTGATTAAGAGGGACATGAAAACTTACCCAATATTTTGTATCAATTGAAATACTGCAAATTCAGAAGCAAGGGTTCTAGTCAGCTTCATACTCACTAGACCTCGCTATGTTTAAAATTACCCTCCTTTATACTATCGGATCGAAAGAACCCCTACCGTCTTACTATCCAAACAAATATACCCCTAACTTGACGGATTGGATACGTGGCACCTTTTTTTTTTTTTTTTGATGAAGTAAAAGATATTATAAAAAGCATCAAGAAGATGCTAAAGAGCACTGTCCAGGTGCTAATACAAAAGATGATATGTTAGCTCTGTACAGATGGTCCTATGCTAGTGTTAGGAACAAAATCCAAAAATAATTCGGGGGAGCTAATAGGGGAGAGGTTACTCCAGCTATTTAACAAAACTATACAATTAGCCTTCAAGGAGTAATTTGGAGTTGCTAAACCCTCAAAACATCTTCTATTCCTTTCTGTCCAAATAGCCCAAAAAATACATCCAGGAATCATTTTCCAAGACTTGTCACCTATCCAAGACTTTTAGTCCATTCGGTCTTAGATTAGACGCGACCCACTCCATTACCCGTTGCCCGACCCATTAAATTTGGTGAAGAAACACCCGACTCTCTCTTAAGAAATCACCATCATGAGAAACATCATCCTTTCTTGAATCCTTCACCTCCTTTTTCCTCCCTCTCCGCCCTCTTCTCTTACTGGTGTCCATTACTTTTTTCTAATTCTTTGATGAAGTACTGCCAAAGCTAATCAAAATATGGGTAACGGAAAAGCAGGTAAAAATGGGGGGAAACCTTGTGAAGGATAAAAGGAGATGAGACTTTGGGGTATTTTGTTTTTGCCTTAGTGGAGCTAGTGCTGCCACCTTGGCGGTATATTCTTACCCTATGCCACCAATTTGTTTTGATACTTATTTAATCAATTTTAATTTGGGTATTGGTGTGATTCTGTTGTTTCTGTACATTTTTTGTGCTTTATTGAGTAATTTGGAGATAAAGTAATAATTGGGCATCCATGGTGGTGCCGCTTGTGGAGGTGTTGGTAGCCTTACCAAGAAAGTTAAGCACTGTAAAATCTGTGCACCAACAAAATCATAGAGGACAAGTGTTAAATGTAAATTTTTAATTTTTCTAGTAAAAATCAGTTGTGTATGATTTGGGCGATTTTGCTTTTACTAAGAGAAGCAGGCTGTATGATCTGGGCGATTTGGATTTTATTGAGAGAAGCGGGTTGGGGGTTTTAGGAGTTGGAGGGTTGTAAGATCTACTTTTTCAGACCTTTTTTTGGCGGGTCAAATTTAATGGGTCGGGTAACGGGACGAGTTGCGTCTAATCTTAGACTGGATGGACCAAAAATCTTGGATGGGTGCCATGTGGCCAGTCCGTCAAGTTAAGGGTATATTTGTTTGGATTGATCCGAAAGTATAACGGAGGGTAATTCTAAACAATTTCTAATGGTAGAGGGATATATCAAACCCTTTCCGGTATTAAAATAATAAAGTGACAGTGCAGCAGCTAGTCGCTTTTGTACTAGCCATGAGAGAAGGTGCCCTCCAACACGAGGTTTATGCATGATTTCAGCTACTAAATTAAAAGCAAAAGTTAAGGCGGTCTTCTGAAGATGTTGTATTTATGCTAATGCAAATGTATGTACGTAATTCGAATCAGATCCAACGGATAATTAGTTCACTCGGATAAATGCAAAGGATAAGTTACAAATACAAAATAACTAAATTGATAATTATGACACAGCCTAGAGTGCGTCTCATACTCCCATAATCGTATGATTAACATCTGAACTTCCCCTGTTATCAAATTCTCAGTCTTGTGATTTCTTGTTGGATGTTGGTATATAGTTGTTAGCTGATATCACTGAAGCAGTTTTCTCCGCTGCTTCAAACTACCTAGTTGACGCAACACTATTCCTGCATAATTTGATAATACCCCGTGCCCTACCCTATGCAAATGTAAGCTTACTTCAGAGTCTTTTTTATTCTGTCCTCTTAAGTCACAGATATAGCAACGGTCAAGTTATCTCCGTGTGACGTATAGGTCACGGGTTCGAGCCGTGGAATTAACCACTATTGATGCTCACATCAGGGTAGGCTACCTACATTATATCCCCTTGGGGTGCGGCCCTTCCGTAAACGCGGGATGCTTTGTGCACTGAGCTGCCCTTTTTTTTTCTAAGTCACAGATATATTTCACTATTGAGTCGTTTCAACTGTAATTTCTTTTATGTTTTCTGTTTCTAAATTTAATTAAAATTTTCTTTTCGATCTCTTCCCATGCAGGCTCTTTCCAATGGAAAGCCTACTGTTGTAGAATTCTATGCAGATTGGTGTGAAGTTTGTCGAGAATTAGCTCCGGATGTCTATAAAATTGAACAGCAGTACAAGTAAATCTTTTTGTTGTTATTGATCCCCTATAACCGAACTTCTTTTTTCCTATTACTATAATAGAGTTATCTTTGAGTTGTTCTTTTAAGAGAGAGAGAACCATTTTTCCAATAGTAGAAGTTTCTCATTTCCTGTTTAAGTGATACCGACTGCATGTTTGAGTTTCTCCTTGTTCTTTGTAGCATGTTTTAATAACATACATAGCACAAGTCAGTTAACAATTTATTTTAGAAAAGTTCATGATGTTAATGCAGGGACCGCGTGAATTTTGTAATGTTGAATGTGGATAACACAAAGTGGGAACAAGAGCTTGATGAGTTTGGAGTAGAGGGTATCCCTCATTTTGCATTCCTGGATAAAAATGGAAATGAGGAAGGTAATGTCGTTGGCCGCCTTCCAAGACAATATTTGCTTGAGAATGTGGATGCCCTTGCTCGAGGGAAAGAATCAATACCTTATTCTCGTGCTGTGGGACAATATACAAGTGCTGAATCGCGCAAGGTCCATCAGGTTTCTGATCCGCGAAATCATGGTTAGAGCTGGTCGCACTGACATATATTGCTCAAACTATTATTAATTCTGGAAAACCTTACATATGCAATGAGAAAGGAGTAACAAATACAACTTACTAGTTTGTAATTTTTGCATTATTTTTGCACACTTCATTGTATAGAAGGAATGTATGCCGCAATCTATTGCACAAGTGACATAGTTTCGCTGAGTTAAATTACTTGCTCAGTCAGAGTAGCAACCGTTCTACTCTACATCTTTTCCCTTTTCTTTATAGCTAATTCCACAGGTTAGTTTACAGTGTTCTAATATCCTTTTTGCCTTGGTCAGCGAGTGAAAAATTCCCCATCTCCAAAGACAAGAGAACAAGTGCATATGCCTTATTCTTTTAGGCTGATTGCAGTGCTTATATTGTTGTGCAGCTAACTTCCACACCGACAAAAATACAAGAAGTTCGCTATCAAAGCAGAAGCTGAACGTGTTTTTCCTTGTCTTCACCATAAGCTGAAAAATAATGCTCACTTCTTTCATTCAGAGCTCCAGTATAGCAAAGAACAGAAGTCGTGGGTCTCTTATGCAGAATAAGTTACATCCCCACTAAAAAGTTCAAAACGTATAACAATACTTGCGTAGTGGCAAAGAAGTGGAGAAGGAAAGTGCTCCACGCGCAATAAGAATACCTTATGAATCAGAGACTTCTGATTGTTCCATTTAACACAACTCTGGATTAACGTCAAACCAAAAAGACCAATAGATTAACATCTGCACAAGGAACGCCTCCCCTAAAGGAAGATCTAGAACTCAAATTGCCTACGAGCAAATGTTTCTGACTTTAAATAGCAAGGACTTTGTCAGAGATTTACTCCAAGCTCTAAAGCCTCAGTAGTGAGCCACCCATTTAACTGTTTGTACTTTGATCAGCCTCTGTTTCCACGGCAACTGTCACACCAACTTCAGCAGGCCGAATAATTCGGTCATGCAAGGTGTACCCCGGCTGCAAAGGGAAGTCTGATTAAATTGTCTGCTACTCATTTGACTTTCAATGAGGGGGATCAGGAATGCATTCAAGATTTTTGCTAAGGAATTTTACAAGTTAAGATTGAAATAACAAACAAATAACATGGATAGAGGAAAATGCTAAAATACCTTAAGACAAACAGCAATCACGCCAGGAGCCTTTTCAGGATCAGGTACTTGAAATACTGCATTATGCTTATTTGGATCAAACTGTTCATTTGTAGGATCGTATTTTTCAACGCCAAATTTCTTGAATACCTGATAAATTAACACAACAAACCAAAAGAAGCAACTTAGTAAGATCTATAACCTACTTGCAAAAAGGACTAAACATCCTTTCACATGGTGCAAAAAAAACAAACATTGAGCAACTATAGTACCCCCTGGAACTCAACAAGTGTATAAAAACACCATTGAAGATTGAATAGAATAAAAGAACCTGTAAGCAAATGGTCAATTGTCAATGACCAAAGCTAATGGAATCTAATGACTATTGACTACTGTGTCATTTCCCAGAGGTAGGCATGTTTCTAGTCTAGCTATAGAAAAGATCACTCAATAGAAGGTGCAAGCAGCAACATAGAGCATAAAATGAGCATATCACGCCTGAGATGTTTGGCCAGTGTTTTACGTATATCTTCATATGATAAAAGCAAATGTGGTAGACCTAAAATCGCGTGAAGAAAAATTATCTCAATAGACCTACAATCACTCAAGATTAATGCAGACATAGCTAAGAACAGAACACAAAGAATATACGTATACACACACAGAGATGCATACTGACACACACGATTCCAACTAGTTGGGATTAAGACTCTTTTTGAGAAATACCTAGTTGGGATTAACACTCTTTTTGAGAAATACCTAGTTGGGAGATAACTAGTTCGGATTAGAGATGAATATTTGTGTAGGGTTAAGCGTGAGAATTGAATTGTTTGCAGAATAAGAATTCAGCAATTGAGACATCTATGTCTATTTCATTAACAAAAAGATGAAAGGGTGCAAAGCAAGGAAATGTCAACTTATTAGGGCAGGAAGAAGGTATGAAAACGCAAAGCATTCTCTTGCTTCCCCACATGTTGCTTCTAAGTACTGGCCCCTCTATGCTGAATCTTGGTCCAGCTTACTTTTTCTATTTTCTCTTATTTTATGTTCCTGCTCGTGCTTGGACAGAGAATGGGTACGAACCTTTAGTTGATTGATTTTGCTTTTAGACCTAATTGTGGTTACACTTGCATTAGGTTCACTATTTGAACACAAGTCCTTCATTTTTGTTAAAGGCTTGTTTGTGTAGGATAAGTGTGTGATTTAAAAAAACTGTAATTGATTGATTTTGCTTTTATTTTCCCTGCAAATCAAAAGGGCCAAGAATAAAGAGGAAACATTCATTTGTTTATTTCTCTTACATAGAGTATTTTTTATTTCTAATTTTTAATAAAATAATGGTATTTTACTAGAGCTATTTCCAAGAAGGAACTGCAAAAGTACATTAAGGGAATTACATCAGTAGAAGGAAAAAGTAATTATTTGGCATGATTGAACAGAAAATAACTATTAGTAATAGAAGTTGACTCATCTATCCTTGAAAGTACTGAAAAATTTGCTATCCCTCCTGTCTTACTTCATAACCAGACAAAGAGGAAACATAATAATCCCAAGTGGCTTCACACCTTCAGTTTCCCTCCCTCTTTTCACCCCCAGAAAGCATAAAGAGCTGAAGTTCTATAAACTTGCTCTCCACAATCCACAGTAAATAAAATGAGGAGAGATCAACGGTTTAAGGGTAAGACTGTACCTCTGCCAGCTGTTTATCAGTCATCTCAACACCTTCCAATAGTGTTTTCAGAAGTGGCATGGCTCCAACTGTGTCCTTAGATGCATCAATCTTAGAAAAGCTTTCTTTTACAACTGAAGAAGCCCTGCCCAAGTTATCGGGCACATCAAGTAGGGCTTTCACAAAATTCTGCAGCATAATTTATACAAAAACATGAGAAAAACGGAAGTAAAACTTAGAACACAAAAAGTTTAATTGTGTGCCTGAGTAGCAAAGCATGTGCTCATCAAGACTAACCTGAATGGCAAACTTCTTGGAATTTTCTGCTTCTCGTTTAGTTCTCTCCATGACATTCTCCATCTCTGCATAACTCCGGAGAAACTTATCCTGCAATTTCCGAAACTCATCATCTTTCATCTTCAAGAGTTCTTCCTTCTCAACCACAAGTTTCACCAGGTCATCCCTAGAAAGGTCCTCCGCATCTATATCTGAATCCAAATGAGCATTTTATTTAGTATGTCTTCTACTTATGCTTTTTTAATCATGTTATAATGGGATGCCATATAAAAACCTGATTCATCCTTCTCATCCTGAATGTGAGAATCAGCAGCGGCTGCTGCTTTCTCTGTTGTGCTTCCTCCTTCACCTTGGGACTGAGATGTTTCTTTTTCATTAGGTTGGGGTGATGCAGAGGATGAGATTCCAAACCATTGCAAGGCAGAGTCAGGTAGTAGAGACACCTGATAAAAAAACACAGTCAGCAAAATCAGCACCATTTAGGTAAGCATTAGAGATACGATGTTATAAGAAGAAAACCACTACAAGCTCGACAATGTACATTAAATCACTGCCCGCAGATCTTTTTATAGACGAGCATATTTTTTAATTCAGCCTCGTAGGGTAAGGTATGCGTACACACAACCCTCCCTAAACCACACTTGTGCTATTCCACTGGGTTTGTTGTTGTTATGTTATGTTATAGACGAGCATATTATCATTGTTTTTTCAGCAAACTTGACTGCTTAGAATGAAATGACACAATTAGGATTCTTTTATTTTTTCTCGAAATTAGAAATCATTTTACCCAGCATAAGTATTGTCCTGCATTTTCAGTTGATTTGGGACATAAAAGAATATAATTACATACTGCAAGTAAGCTAAAGGCAAAATCATTATATCTACACTCTTTGAAGTCCAAGCAAATTTTAACTTCTTTCCTCCTTCTACTAAACTATATGTGAGAGTTGCCAGTGTTGCTAATGACTCAAATATAGTTCAGTCCAAAACTTCCCAAGAATTTTTTTTTGCAGCAACCCATTAAAAGGTACAGATTTTAATAGATACAATCAAAGATAAAATTAACATCAAGTTAAGCTTGCTATACAGCTAAAGTACAATTGCAATTAAAACCCTAGCAAAACCCTAATTCATTAATTAATCCAGAAAAGGCGGGAAGGGGATTGAAAGATTATTTGGGGGTGGGCAAAAAGATTGAACCTTTTCCTTGATGTCACGAACTGAGTGAAACTGAGATGAAAGGATGGGAAGGGGGTGCTGTTGCTTTTGTTGACGATAATAGAGGCGGCACTGTGTCAACACATTCCTTGAGAACCGAGATGAGATTCTACTCACCGACATTTCTGAATTAGGGTTTCTGCTATATGGATTGTACAAACAAGAGAACAGAAAATTGAACTAACTTGTGAATTAGCGGTGGGGGTAATGAAACAGAGAAGGGTTTTAGGAAGAGGAAAAAAAAAAGAGAGACGCGGCTGTGCTTGAAGAGGAAGAAAAGGTTTTCGGAAAATGAAAAAAAAAAGAATTTTTATTTCGAACACTAAACAAAACATAAAAAGAAAATCACTTTTTGCATTTTAATTTTTCATTTGATGACTCCCACCAGACAAGAGTAAGTTGCTCTAGTGGTGAGCACCCTCCACTTTCAACCAAGAGGTTGTCAGTTCGAGTCACCCCAAGAGTAAGGTGGAGAGTTTTTGGAGGAAGGGAGCCGAGGGTCTGTCGAAAATAGCCGAGGGTCTATCAGGTCTATCGGAAACAGCCTCTCTACTCCGGGGTAAGGGAGTTGTTGTTGTTGTATTTGATGACTCCCACTAAAGCTGAACGTGACTTCTTTTCAAACTACAAATACTAATACAATTTTGTTGTTTGTCAAGATGGTATTACTCTTGAAAAGTTGCTTCCTCCCAAGCCAAAGAAACACAAGGCCGTTTTGGTTAAATTTGTTTGCGATAGAGTGGATGATCTATTTTCTTGACATAGTAATCGAAAGAGCTTTGTTTTGTTGATTCATTGTGTATCAAATAAAAATAGTTTAGACTCGAGACTAGGAGTACTAATCTTTACTCTTTCTTCTTATTTGTTGCTATATTTCTATATTTTTTGAAGTATTATTTGCGTATCGTGAGAAACTCTATGTTACTTGTAGTAGGCATTATATCA